AGAGGTACCACTGTAGTTGCATAAACTGTTTAAGAAGCCATTCCACAAAACACTGTATAATCTATTGGACAACTGTTTACAACTTCATTGGGCTCATTCATTTGTTTATACTGTATTAGTGGAAGAATTTGATGTTTTGTAGAAGTTTTGGAGTACAAATACCACAACACTTAAGTTCATGGGCAGAAATAGAGTAGTCAAAAATATCTAGAATGGCCTAGATGTATACCTCTGCTAGAGGTTGCACATACACTAGAACAGTTTTTTTCCCCTCAATTTCCTTAGTAAGAATTAATTATTTGAAGAAAATTGGAAATGTATTTCTTATATGTTCCCCATCAAGTTTGAGGGAAGTGTATACCAACACACAGGCTAGGTTCACACATTATCTAAGTCATATGATTTGTTTCATTTTGACTGAATGCAGTGCAGTATGTGAAGCCAGCAGTTGTGACTTATTCATGGCTTAACACAATGTGAGATTAACTCAGTTACAAAGCTCTGTCTCTGATTTTGACATGTCTGTTTTCTTTACATAATCTGGAGCCCTGAGCAAGAAGGAAAAGATAAGTCATTTTGTCTTAGTCTTGAACAATAAAATTAAAACATTTTTCTTTGCTTGCAAAATATTAAAAACAGAAACCAGATTAATTGGGAAAGGGCCAGCTACCATCCAAAGCAACTTGAAATGTGATATATTTTTACCTTATGTTTGTCCAAGACTTAGGTCCTATTTTGATGTCATTGATGTCCCTCGATGGTAAAAGAACGATTGCTAGAAACACACATAAGCTGCCAGACTTGGAATCTGCAATTATTACAGTAGCAATTGTAACTAACTTAACTAACTAGAAATTAGCCTTGCAGATGAACTTGGGGATTCTTCCAAATTGAATGAATTCCAAATTAATTCAAAGCAGCAGCATCTGCCAGGAGGATGGGGGAGGAACCGGCAAGATGGTAGTCAAAACTTTGCAACTGAAGCCTGCTCTTTTGTATGTGGACAGGTCCAAAAGGCTAGCGCTTTGATCATGCTGCTTGTCTCTACCTTGTCTATTTTGACCCCCCCCCCCCCCGG